AGTTACTGGACCTGGCCTCCACAATTTTTGTGAACCAATGGGTCACTAGAATTTGGTTACAGCACGATTACGGTCACAGTACAGTACCGTCCGTTTCCCACTCATACGAAATCCGCTCTAATAATCACCATGATATTTATCGCCGTTATATTCAAATTTCYAATTTCTATTATTTATTTCCCTGAATCGGCTTATATCTCCTATATAGTACAATTGTCATATAATCATCTTAAAAATTTGTTATTATCTTTATTTTTTCTATAAAGATGTCAACGAGTGTCTGAAAAATCCTTGTAACAATCGACAAGTATGCGTCAATTTAGTYGGAAGTCACAGATGCGATTGTAAATCAAGCTGGCAAGGTCGCTACTGTGATGAAGGTACATTTWATTATMACTAAGTTTASATTGCSTTGTTTATTCCTTCAGCCAGTGKKTTTTTTTTCAAGATGTGGACGAGTGCATTAACAACCCGTGCAAGAACCAAGGAGTATGCATTAATGCCATTGGAAACTATGCCTGCAAGTGTCCATCAGGGTGGAAGGGCCAAGACTGTGAAATTGGTAGGTATATCTTGAATWATCTGCCTCAAAATGCTCTTTATGCTCATTTTTGCGCATGATAGAGTCTGCCTCGTGCACTTAGTTCCTGTTTATAACCATGGGTTATGGTTACAATGGGTGGTAGGGTGTTTTTCACKGTTCTTATGCATTTGATTGTTGCAGATGTAGATGAATGTCTTAACACTCCTTGTAAGAACGGAGGATCATGTACCAATAGCGTTGGAAATTACTCGTGTCAWTGTCTACCAGGGTGGAGAGGGGAAAATTGTGATGAAGGTAAGACACGACCACATCGTTATCATCATCATCATTACCATGATGATAACATCATAATCACTCATTTTCACTGAGTGTTGTTTGGATAGATATGTATGAAAGCCATTCTTACTGTAACTTCACATTTTAGACYTAGACCAGAAAGTTTGTCTCATTTTCTCTTGTGCTGGAATCAGTGCCAATTATYCCACCCAAAACCAGTCGAATAATTATAAAGATGCGCGAAGTATCGTGACAATAGAGCAAATGGCCTATTGATATTAGCACTATATTGTTTTTAAACACCCTTTTATCCATTTTAACCTTCTATTTTAACAAGATATAAACGAGTGCTTGACAAGTCCATGTCAGAATGAAGCAAGATGCATCAATGGAGGTGGAAGCTATAGATGTTCTTGYACGGTAGGATGGATGGGACAACACTGTGATGAAGGTATTCTATTGCACCAAAACAACTTCATTTAGGGACAAAACACAMTATAATCCATTGTTCCAGATGAAGTACAATTTCAATGAACTAGGGTTTTATTAGTGTACAATTGTGAATTGAAAACAACAGAAAACAAAGGAATGGAAACGAGGCCTAAGGGCCCTTGAGGTGTTCAGATGGCAAATATCAAGGGATTCCATTCACCTGGATTCAAGAAAAATTGCTTGTCAGTAGGAAAAGGACATTTTCTTGCTTCTTGTTAAATTAAATAAGAATATTTTTTAATCCCTATGTTACTTCCGGTTTATGTCGTAAGCATGTATAATAACAACACATTTTCTTATCCTGCAGTTAAACCATCACACATTGTCAACCTTGATGTCACTGGAACTTTAAAAGCAATTGACGGATCTTTCGTCAACGTYCACTGCGCTGCCACATGGAATATTGAAGCAGACCTAAAATGGTCTATAAATAAACATGACGTCACCGATAGGTCACGTGGTAGTGTATACGTCAATGATAACATTGCCAGCGAACTTCAAGTCAATTTTACTAGCATCTCAGACATCAAGTCTGTTTTCAAATGTAAAGAGTTTGAAAGCTTTCGATGGAGGTGTACTGTTAACGTTGTTTGTGAGGTTATTCRTGGAAATATCACTGATGACAGAAAAGAACAGGAAATTRCTATTGTCATAGGTAAATTGAAGCTTTTTCTACAGAGAATTAGTTTTTAAWTCGCAAATCATTGGGTTGTGACTCGTTTCAAAGGAACRTATMTTTCACAAATACTKGCTCGAGATCGAGGAAGCGCATGTGACAGCGCATGAAATTGAGCAAAWGCACTTGAATTCACAGTRTTGAATGGATGGATGAATTAATGGATGAAAGAAGTAAGATGAATGAATAAGTGGAAGGAAAAATGTCAGTTCGAATAAAAGAGTTTGTGAATATATAAATAAAAGACTAAAGTATGACGGAGTGGTTAGATGAAAGGATAAATTAACGACAATCAAACGAACAAACAGAAGAACTATGATGACATAAAAGAAATGACTTGACAACAAACATGCACTTATTCACCTATATTGATTATACATCGTTTGTCTTAAGGTCAAAAAGCWAAAATTACCAGTTCAGATGTCATTGGGATCTTAAAGYCTCAACAAGGATCCTCAATTACKGTGCGATGTACAGCTATCGGCGACAAAGCCACMAACATAAGGTGGTTCTCTTCACAARTAGAAGTAACTGGTAAATCAGCCGGTACGACTTACAATGGCCGTCTTATTACCAGCCAAATACAAGTGAACTTTACCAGTGCTTCAGAAATCACATCGACCTACACGTGTAAAGAGATCAAGGGTTTTCAGTTGAAATGTAGGAACATAGTTACATGTCAAGCCGCACGAGGGAATGTTATTGATGACACGAAGGATCACACTGTTGAAATTACTGTTGGTAAGGAACAGGGCAGCCTCGATAATCAAATCATCATTATCACAATAACAAGATTGAATAGCTATTGCTTCTGAGTCTTCTGCTGCTGTTGTTGTTGTTGTTGTTTCTTCTGCAGCTGGCGCTACTGTTGTTGTTGCTTCTGCAGCAGCTGCTGTTGTTGTTGTGCCGTTCTTGTTCAGCTGTTGTTGTTGCTGTTGTTATGGTTTTCGTTGCTGTTGTTATCACTGCTGTCGTTGTTGCTGCTGTTGAGGGGTCTGAGAAGGGACAAATTTTTCTCTAACCAAGGAGTTCTATCAAATTATCAATAATCGAATTTTATTCCAGCTCGACAAATACAAATCAGTAGCCTAGAAGTCGTGGGTGACTTGAGCAGTCAACAAAATGATCACGTCGTAACCTTCAAATGCACAGTGACTGGAGACGAGTCGGTGTCTGTACGATGGTTTCTGTGTGGTCACGATATAACTGATAGATCCCTTGGTAGTAGCTACGTCCAGGGAAGAACAACTAGTCAACTTGAAGTCAACTACGCAAGTATTTCAGATGTCTTATTGGGCTGCGATTTGAAATGCGACGACACAGGGGAGACAAAACTAAAATGCACAGCGGATGTCTCGTGCAACGGAGTGAGACCAAACTCTGAAGAAACYAGGAAGACGCAAGCAATGAAAGTGTATGTTTCAAAATCGGCGTCACCCAAGAAATCTAGTTGGTTAATAATACTTTTAATGATCKTTCGGTTCGCAGTGTGCCTTAGTATTGGCTGGAACTAAGCTAGCTCTTGATATTACAACCTTGATCGAAGGAAATGGTCTATCAGAGGGCAATAGGAATTCTGGGAACCGTGATTTTGCGCATTTTAAGACTGCACTAGTTTCGTAAGAGTATTTTCWGCAGAAAGAAAATCAAAAGTAAAAAAGTAAAATTATAATTAAGTGTGCACTTAATTATAATTCGCACAAGCGTTAATTAAAACATATTGAAGGTGATTTAAGAGTATAACCAGCACAAGTGGCATAAAGTGAAAAGCAAGAAAAAAAAAACATATATAAAATTATTCCTTTATACCGAAAATGCGTCATGACTTTTGGAAAATTTGTATAAACAGATTAAGTTTTTTGCTGGAAAGAATTTTACTTTTTTTCACTATTCGTGCAWAGCGATTTATTTTTATGAGTTATAGATTATGTAGGTAACTTTGTGGTTTAAAAATAAAAGAATTGTTAAGTTCAACCTTATTTRCCGTTTRTTTTTAGTGACTCATACTGGATCGCAAAACAAAAAATACTTATAAAAGAGAAAAGAGAGTTAGAAAATTGAGACGAACTCCCWTTGAGCCAGCGATCTGTTTGGGAAAACCGCAATCACGTAATCACCACAGGAATACCATAAATCGTCGTTTTTTGACAAGAGAGACGCCATTTTGAAATCTACATGCTCATGTTTTATTCATTWAAAAGGGCGTGTTTACTACTCCAAATCGAGGAGACGTTATTACACACAATTCAAGAAYAATGTTATGTGATATGGTAAAGGATTCTCTCAATTACCCTCCGTAAGCWATGCTGATAAAATTCAAAATCTTCATATTTTTGCTGATGTTTCCGCTGGTGATAGTCTACGCTGCAGGTAAGMTTAAAAACGTTTGAKAACTTATTACTTACATATATTCCACYTCTATGATGATTATTTTGTTCAAAGAAAAAGTCCTTTCTTCATTTAACTTTTATCTTACCGAGCTAAACAGCAAAAAACACAGAAGTGACATTTGCAGTGGCTATTTGAACGGTAAACYGTAAACCGAGTTGTTTTTTTCTTTTCGTGAGCTTATAATCGTATAATCTTCAAATTTCAAAGTAGTTATATAAGATACCGGTTTTAGACTATCATAAGYTTGTTTAAAATTAAATTGCAATTAGATAAAGGTTCAAATATCGTGATTTTACCATCTTGGAGAGTAACTAGCTTATATCCACGCCAAAAGCGAAGATGAAATTTTTGAAGGTTGACGCTAAAATACCTCAATAACTTCCATATTTTATTGTGTCTCGTTAACGTATTTCAAATTAATCAACATTTTCGTGGAAATAGTCTTTTTTCGGCATGTTTTGAAGCACAAAACATTTATGAACGTACGAATCACACTGCATGGATATTCATACATAAATTTTGGACTAACCACTGTTGAACTCAAAACTGCTTCCCGTCCTACTATTTCTCAATTCTTTTAGCATTGATTTTGACGCTTTTCAATCTAATCACCTTAGAAAGGTAACGTTWATACATATTCCTTTAAGTTAAAAATAACGGTTGTTGATTTTTTTATTTCCTTTATATAATTAAACCTTTACTTTAGTTGAATTATAGCTGTTATTTTTTGTATATTCTAGATTCCTGGGAATGCTTGTTGAATGTCAAAACAATAATAAAGGATTTAAACTACAGAAAATGGACTATAGGCTTCTATAAAGAGACGAAATCGTCTGGAAATGTAGTATGTATAGATCGATATGGTAATAGTATAGAAGCAGAGAGAGAAAGTAGTGTCATTAATGTCAAACCCCTCAAAGAAAGCATTGCCAAAGGAAAAAGAGTACTGGCTCCAGTAACCAGAGACAAGTATAAYCGTGAAGTGTAYACAGCTGTACAGATAGAGACTGTGAAGGGAGATATAGTTACAACAAAACCCCCAGGTAGCATATAAAACTATATTAAGATATAATAAGATATAATAAATTTATTCTGAAAAATTGTGCAAAAGTGACTCTTAGCCTTACATTTAAAACTGCGTAAACTTTCACATTTTGTAATTTCGTCGGGGAGAGTGTTATAACATTTTTTGTGTAATTTGCTCTTATTTCTGGTGYTTCTCCATGTACAGAAGAACGTGTATTGAAACGTGAACTTAGATAATGTGGGTCCATTGCATCGTTAAATGTCAGCATGATAGTGATTGTAGCAGTGGTTGTATCACTTTGTTCTCGTTCTCTTTGTTCTCTTCTCAATATTGACTATCTGTCACACAGTTCATAGTTTTGCATGGCTCGAAATAACAGCCGGTCAAAGGACAATGTCCTTCCAATTTCGCTCGGAGATGACCAGCCAAATCGGGTTTTGAAAGGACARATTGACCTGCCACATTTTTAGACAAATCAATTCTCACTTCCCATAAAAAATCTTTTACATCCATTAAAATGCTTGTCGATCTTTCTGGATACAAAAACGTATAAGTTAAAAGAGAATAACAGTATAATAWAGTTTTTGTCCTTTCAAAAATCGACATGACCTTCCAAAAATGAATTTGGAAGGATAATATTTTGTCCTGCATATGTCTGGGYGTTATTTMGAGCCCTGTTTTKTACTGTATTCTTTCACTAGGTTGTGAAGTGATTCCTCCTCCTGTTGGTCTAGGGATCGATAAAGTCTACAATAAAGTACCTGATAAACACTTTTCCGCCTCGAGCATATACTCTAATTCGTATCCAGCCCGTTATGGTCGCTTGTACCAGTCTAACGACGATACATGGTGTTCAGAAGCAGAGTCTTAYGATTGGATCAAAATAGATTTCGGAGCCTGGATAAAACTTTGTGGTATGGGATTTCATGGGTCATTTACTTATAAAGAATATGTCACGCTTATGGATCTGAAGACGTATTCAGGTCAGCAGATAGCGGTATGTATAGCTGGGATCCCTACACTAACTTTATCAATTATATTGTCAAGCTGTACTGCCTTTGACATCGTCTTTAATTGTTACAATTGTTTTCCGTCCCAAAAAATATATATCACAACTACTCTCAGATATCACATCTAAAATTACTTTTAATCAAATATTTTTGTTTTACAGAGAGTCGAAGCAAAAACTTTTGAATACGAGTACTTCCCAATATCTTACGATACTCCCATCGATAAGGTCCATATTATCACAAGAAAATACGTAACTTGGCCATGCGGCAACTTTGAGTTTTTTGGATACAGGAGTAAGTATTACATTTTGATRAAGGATCCTTTTCAATACTTTACTATAGATACCTCGAATTTACAGACTCGCATCAATTTKTGGTCCACCGAAACAGCCCGAAGGGAGGGGTTTTGGGAACTAAGGTAGGACTGGAAGATGTCAGAAATACACTCGCCCAATTTTGGATCTGACAAATTGACAGAAGTCTATGAACTTTAATAAGTCCCTTTCGGTATCCTTAATCTTAACTTTAATATAATATATAGCTATAATTGAGTTCGCATGACTGATTCTTGTTTCTCAATTTATTCTAACAAGGTTCAAATAAASAGTCTTTGATAAATCCTAGCTTTCATTGGGAAGAATTGAGACTTTTTGGTAAGTTGCAGGATGGTTTCAGCCAGTCGGTCTTCCAGATTCATTTTGGATTGCTTTAGATTACGTTTTGTAACATTTTCTTACCTTGTTGTAGTTTATATTTTTTTATTTTTTTTTATCTTTGTTGTGATGCTAAAATCAAAGGATTWTTTTCCTACCGATTCGAATTGTTTTTTAGGTCGTCAATGTGATGGAATGTCCAACGAATGTCCTTCAGGGTCATATTGCTCAAAACAGTGGGGATTCAACGAGTACGAATGTACTTGTACYAAATCAGGATTCGGTTCAACCAACAACCTGGTGAAATTCAGAGGAGGAGAAGCAACTGATCCTTGTGCTGGTAATACAGTGACCTTGGTCAATGAAAAACAGCTGCTKTAATTTATTCTCTATATACGAGCAATTTAATGTCGGGTRTTATATATATTTGATATATTTTGGGTGTTTATCTCGAGAGTGGCGCACAATTTGCGGTACGAAACTCAAAGAAACTATAYAGTATTATCATGCCTTTATGCTGATTTGTTATCTCATATCAAAGCTCTTGTCATTGAACTGTTCTTTCGTGTGGGATCAAAATTCTTTCAATTGTGGCAAATGCACATGCTCAGTAGAAGTTTAATATGCATAATCACTGTTTTCGCATTTTTTTAGCTTTTTTTTCTAAAATGATAACAATTTCTGGATGTTGGAGTTCTAGAAGTAGTATAAAGAACTCTTTCGTTCTTTAAACAMTACATAAATTACATTATAACCTAGTACATATATTTGAATAGCATGACAGGCTCGCGTTCTTTATCGTATCTTCAGCAATGTTTATGCCTGTTTATGCATTTTTTCTAGATATCGATGARTGTAAACTTAATAAGTGCAAGAATCAAGCAACATGTGTGAACACTGTTGGAAGCTATTCATGCCGTTGTCAAAAAGGATGGTCRGGCTATAACTGYGACCAAGGTACTCTATAAGTTATCAWTTGATCTTCAAAAAATTCATCATGATTATCAAGTTTAAAGGACTTCAGAAAGGTGTTATGCAAGAATAGAATTGATCGTGTCTTACTTTATCTCATTTTTAATACCAAATAGTATTTTGTCTTTTTCCGTTCATATTTACCATTTTGACCCATCTGTTTTATTAGAGACATTAACCCGCAATACACAGTAGTTAAATTCTAATTATCTACTTATACCAGATGTCAACGAGTGCTCAAATTACCCATGCAAGAATGGAGCCACATGTGTCAATACCCAAGGAAGTTATAAATGCAAKTGTGTGAAAGGTTTTGAGGGGCAACAATGTCAAAATGGTAGGATAAATCAGTCTGTTTTTTCTATTTTTGCTTATTTGTCTTTGTCGTTATAACATTGCTACGGAAATATGGTGTGAATCCGGCTGTAAATGTGTACTGGAGCGGATTTCGTATGAGTGGGAAACGGACGGTACTGTACTGTGACCGTACTCGTACTGTAACCAAATTCTAGTGCCACATTGGTTCACCAAAATTGTGTAGGCCAGGTCCGGTAACTGTGCGGCAAACGTGCGGTAACGGTGTCCCACCACTCATAAGAAATCCGCTCTATGTGAATAATACAATTCGGCGTGAATCTGGTGGCAGAGGTGTATGTGAATAACACAGGTCGATGTGAATCTGCCGGCAGCGAGTTGGCAGCGAATCTTAAGGCCGCTTTACACGATGAGACTTGCCGCGTGCGACGCATTAGAGGAAACACTGTATATATGAATATACCACTAGACACGCGCGACCCAGGACTTTTTTTCAGACTTTTTAGCTCAAAACCCTAAGCCAAGTCAAAGTGGCTGAAGAGTGCGATTCAAGATAACAAGTCGCATCATGTAAATCAGCCGTTTCTAAAGTTTCCATAACTAAATAAGTTGTTACAGTTTCATAATTTCTAAACAATTTATTATCTCAAAAGACGCAAATGAATGCCTTAACAATCCGTGCAACAATGGCGGAACTTGTTTGAACAGCCGTGGCAGCTACTCGTGCACTTGTACCAAAGGATGGCGTGGGAAGCATTGCGAAACTGGTATGCATAATATCGGTTAATTCAGATAACCTTCATATACTAAAATCATCATTTCTTTTTGGATTTAGACTTAGATGAATGCATCAATTATAAGCCGTGCAAAAATTATGGACGATGYAGCAATATGATTGGAAGTTACAAGTGCACTTGCACAGAAGGATGGAAAGGAATCAACTGTGATCAAGGTAAACAAGGATGAACTGCATAAAATAATTAAGAGGTCTAYATTTAAATAATACATAGATGCACGGAGAAGAAGAACAGCAATGACAACGGCAACAACAGCAACAGCAACAACGACGACAACACCAGCACCAACAGGAGGAAATTCTGCTGGTTTTGCAACCCTCCATTTTGTACAAGCTGTAACTGAGGGACACTTGTTATGAGGGGCCGGAAAAAAAACCCTCGATACCCTTGACAAAAGGTGCCAGCAGATGTTCGTTGCCAGTGAATCCTAGTCGTCCTTTCCACCACGCGTATTGCAGCCTTCGGTTGTTTGCTCATGACTTTGCGAGATTACCTTTGTTCATATCATCTGCAATTTGAATGTATTTCTACCAGTGAAAAATAAACGTACTTTTTTCTACCTAGATGAGAACGAATGTCTCAAGTCTCCATGTAAGAACGGTGGTACTTGCACAAACACACATGGTAGCTACACTTGTTCTTGTAAATCAACCTGGCAAGGAAAGAACTGTGCGCAAGGTAACTTGGTATGCATGGAAACAGTTGCTCCCAACGAACACGTAGCTTTTACTGATATTCCAATGAATACGACCTGGTTCACTGAAGACAATTTACCATTTTACCAGGAGTTTACCAGGAGTTTACCACTTTACCAGGAATTTACCAGGAATTTACCACTTTACCAGGAATTTACCAGGAATTTACCACTTTACCAGGAATTTACCAGGAATTTACCACTTTACCAGGAATTTCGCGATGATAACCCTCCCTCTCAGCATCTAATGCAAAAAAACTCCTTTGGTGCTACGCCGTGTTTCTAATATTTCTTCGTTCTAATCTAGATATCAATGAATGCCTCAATCGTCCTTGTAAAAATGGTGCAAAATGTCTTAATTATGAAGGCAGCTATACATGCGTCTGTATGACAGGTTGGCAAGGAAAACATTGCGAACAAGGTATGTACTATGWACTAACAAAATGGYTTTCATTTTGAAATCAAATGTCACTAAGTATTGTTATCGTTACAGACATCAATGAATGTAYATCGTTAAAGCCTTGTAAAAACCAAGCAACATGTACCAATCTTGCTGGAAGTTACAAGTGCTCGTGTGCCTCTGGATGGACCGGTGTCAACTGTGATCAAGGTATAATCTCGTTTTATAACAAATTGCATGCGAATTGCAGAAAATTTATGAATGATTTGACCTTGCCTTTTGAACTCTCCAGATATTGATGAATGYCGATTGAATTTATGCAAGAATCAGGCAACCTGCACAAATGCACCAGGAGGCTATGCATGTCGGTGTCAAAGTGGATGGCAAGGAAAAAACTGCGACCAAGGTATATATGAACAAAACTAACAAAAAGTATTGTAAGATATACAGATTGGATTCAGTCCTATTAAGCAATCCGTGATGGAAACATCCCACCTGCAAGAATTGTCATTTCAATGAAATAACTAAAGATGGTGGCTCGGCAGCCCTTGGAGATGTTACGGGATTTTTTATGCCATAATGACTAGAAATCATATCTGATATCTCATTCTTATTTGTTAGATATAAATGAATGTCTAAAGCATCCATGTAAGAATGGAGGAACGTGTGTTAATAACAAAGGCAGTTACAAATGCGCTTGTAAAATTGGCTTCAAAGGCCAGTGGTGYCACGAAGGTGGGTGTTTTCATGAAAGGTAAATAATTCCATTTGCTTGAATGTAGTTCATTCGTTAGTTGCTTCTTTCATTCKTTTATTCATTTATTCAASCATTCATTTATTAAAGAAATTATACCTTTATTTGTTAGTCGATTAAAAGATCACAATGAACATGAAAAGCAGGGTTAAAAGGCAATATAGAGAAGAAAAGAATTTCCCTCAGTTGTTTCAAGATAATCACAATTCTATAAAAGATATCTATAATCTTTTACTTTTAGATGTCAACGAGTGTTTGAACAACCCCTGCAAGAACCAAGGGACGTGCACCAATACTGTTGGAAGCTACTCGTGTGCTTGTACAGCAGGATGGAAAGGAWTTCATTGTGAAATTGGTAAGTACAACGGCATTTCACCATTCTTTTTGACTTATATGCATTGAACCAAGCGTCTTTTCTAACATCAACATGACTGAAGATGCGTTAATGTAACTCAATAGTTTAGGTGAAAAATGCCTCAGTTGTTAATTATTTCGTATTTCTTTTAAGAAATTAACGAATGTGTCCGAAATCCATGCAAGAATGGCGGAACGTGTGTCAATACTATTGGAAGTTATTATTGTGTCTGTAAACAGCAATTTCTGGGTCAAAACTGTGATCAAGGTGGGTTCCCCTCGTTTTTTGAGTCCGATAAATTAAGTCGCATTTGTTCTTGTAATATTTTCATTGATTCTATGAATAAATACAGATGTTGATGAGTGCAAATGGAGTCCTTGTCAAAACGATGGTACCTGCACAAACAGCCATGGTGGCTTCCTCTGYACRTGCAAACCAAACTGGAAAGGGAAAATCTGCGATGAAGGTACTTTRTTTTTACATTTTCACACACTATAGATGATGATTGAGTACTGACTGGGTTKTTTTGCTGTATTTCAGATGTGAACGAGTGCGATTTGAATCCCTGTCGTAACAATGGAATATGTACCAATACTTTTGGGAGCTATAAATGCAGCTGCGCAGCGGGCTGGAAGGGAAAAATTTGTAATATAGGTACAAACAGAGCATGTTCCATTTATCTAACCATTCTCCCAGTCSCCCTTCCATTCATATAGATCTTATCCATCCATCAATTCTTTKTCTCTCTTCATTCATTTTGTTTATTCACCAATTTATGGATTGTATTTTTCTTTCCCTTATTTGCTCATCCATCCATTCTTTATTTATCCATCCATTCTTATGTGTGTTTACATTCACGCATTACATCTGTTTTATCCAATAACGTTGTGGAYCAGATATCAACGAGTGTGATGCCAAACCATGCTACAATGGTGGAACGTGTACCAATACCCAAGGAAGCTACATGTGCACTTGTAACGAACRCTGGCAAGGAAAACACTGCGAACAAGGTTAACGAATTAGAATAGAGTACTTGAAAATCAGCAACAGAAACAAATACGTTAATATATTTTGTTTTAGATGTAAATGAATGCCTGGCGAGTCCATGTCACAACCAAGGAACCTGCAGTAATCTTCCTGGATCCTATAAATGCTCTTGTAAAGCAGGATGGAAAGGCCAACACTGTGATATAGGTAAACGAATAACTAGAAGATTATTATCTTCTTCAGCTGAGGTGTGGTGAGCCCGTACACTCCTAKTCATTTTAACCAACATAATTTCCTGTTCAAATTAGATGTCAACGAGTGCGATGACCTCCCTTGTCAGAACGGCGGARCTTGCACAAATGCTAGRGGAAGTTACATTTGTGCTTGTACCATAAGCTGGAAAGGAAAAAACTGCGATCAAGGTAAAATAATTTCCCCCTCCTTGGTAGACTAGGTCTGGAATTTAAGAAGGTGTATTCATAAAATTGAAACTAACATCAACACAATTGTGTGAAAATGTTTCTTGTGTTATTGGATTGGTATTTAATTCATCTTTAAACATTTTGCACTTCAGATGTGGATGAATGTTTGACAAATCCATGTCAATACGAAGGGAAATGCATCAATACTCCTGGTACCTACAGGTGTGCTTGTATGGTYGGTTGGCAAGGTTATAATTGTGATCAAGGTAAACTGTAATACTACGAGAAAGGAGTGTAACCTATTCATGATTAGAAGGAAAGATAAACTTCTTGCGGGACCTCAATAATCTCAGAATATAATTTGGTACAAGAGTGACTTGGTTTTATACCCGCAGAAGGAAACACCTTACAGTCCATCATAGAAAACTCTACCTAAACATTTCCACACAATGGGAGACATTTCTAATGGGACAACACGATTATTTTGAACAGTTGACATAAATTTCCTATTCAGTTTTGGAAGATGCCCATGTTCAATACCCATTCAAAAATTGATCTCACATGAAATCAACATTGAATGAGGGTGGGTTTGGGGGGCGGGGGAGGTTTACAATATATTCTCTCATAGGTATAAAAATATGAGCTTGTCCCGTATAAAAATGTCCGCCATTGTAGCTTTCATTCATCGAGAAGTATACTAAGACAGAAAACGTTCATGCCTTTCATTGTAAACTAAGACAACCATAACATGACTAAGAGTATTAAGATAACTCTCKTCCTGGATAAAAAAGTATAAATACATTCTGAATGTTTTCTTGCAATAGATGTAAACGAGTGTCAACACAAGAATCCATGTCACAACGAAGGAACGTGTACCAACACTGCAGGCAGYTATACATGCGAATGCTCCAAAGGATGGAAGGGGAAAAACTGCATACAAGGTATA